TACGTGCAAGAACTTCTTTCTGTGCTATATCCTGTGATTGTCGGCGCTGATACCGTTGGCCCAAACACGGAGCTAAACTCCCGTCACAGCGGGCTTAGCTTTGACGATAGCAACTTGGTTCTCCGGCCGCGTTCAAGTACTGCAAATGCACCAGCTACTTTGCAGACGACTACAGTCGATTCTTTGGGCAACCCCGAGGAGAGCGCCGATTCTTTACGCCGTGGCTCATCTTTCATTCTGGTTTCCTCTGACAAGGCCAAGCACCAGCCGTCTTCCGCTCGCATTCGGCGTTTTGTGAACCCAACCTTTATTGGCAGTGAAGCTGCCATGCAACATCCGCTCGTCAAGTCTATATTTGGACTAATCTTGGCTGTATTCCAGGATCAACTACTGGGGCGCAAAGATTTCTCGGGTCTTGGTCTCTATCTCAAGACACCGCCTGGCTTCCTGGAACACCAAGCATACTTCGACTCCTGGGTTTTCAGCTGTGTACTTTCCACGTTGCAAGATTTGCCGTTGGTCCAGCCGGGTCTTCTCCATGAGCCCCGGACCCTGACGAACCTTGCGCGTCTGTCAACACATTTGACAGAGGCAGTATACGAAGGCTGGTTTATCAATGGAGCCGCTTCTACCCTAGAATTCACTGGGACAATCCTAGAGTATCTGCAGCGCCCTGACATATCTCAAGTGAAGAGCATCCGTTTGTGCAACCAGGCTGTAATAACGATCCGCTCAACCCTTTACAAAGTTGTCTTATTCCAGTTGTCGGAAGCAGATGATACACAGACTGTTCCTCTCCTGAATCGCTTGACTTACTGGCAGGTGGTTCTTCTTGCCGCAGCTGAAACCCAATCAAAGCATTTACACCTGCTGTGCTATCTGCTTTATACCAAACTGATCAGCACAAACGGGGATGTCCGCTCAGCTGCTGCAAGTCTATGGAGGATTATCCTTGTGCAAGCACCAGATGAAATAACACTTCTTCTTAGCCATATACCTGCAAACCTTCAACGTCGGTTGGCTGACGGCTTCGACGCTCTTTCAGGAATGGAAGATGAATCATTTTTGCAGTGGATCGACGAACAACGTGATGATCTTGACGCTTTGTTCTTTGGGATAATGTCTCGGTCATGGGAGGCATTTGTCCAAGAGGAGAATGCAAATAGTGAGGAATCTATCCGCACTCGTGTCTCAAAACGGAAAGACAAACTGAGACAGTGGGCTCAGATCGAAAAATTCGACGAAGACATGGTTCGGAAGCATGACGCAACATTACCACACTGGATATCCAACATCGCAGCATCCGAGTTCTTGAAATCCCAAAGATTCTTGCAAGACCTGCAGGATAGCTCAACCTTTATGTGGTCTGCGTTCTCTAGTCTACTGCTCGACCTACGGCGACCAGGTGGTCTTCTATCGGAGAACAAGGAGAGAAGGTGGTGGCTGGACCAGACGGAAGGTCGCAGTCGTATGCGACTTCGTCTTGTTCCAGATGAGTCTGGCGATCGACAGGACTACCAGCCTAAGCGGAAGGCCTCCGAACCTCCTGCAATCAAAATTGATACCAGGATACGTGCACTCTCGGAGGGGGAGAACATGACGACGCCTCACCCTCTTAACGGCGAGTCTGAAAATGTGGAACCCGAGTCACCAGGGGGCGATGCTGACAATCGAAGCATGTTGGAGGATAACTTCGAGATGATCGATGACCCCAAAATCGGGCTGGAAGACTATGAAGATAGGAACCGGAAGGTCATGCGATCTTTGCAACGTGGCGATCAAGTGCAAAGCGTGTGCAACTTGTCTCGAATCATTGGTCTAGAAGCAGTGGAAGGAATCTTGATTCTTGGAAAAGATTGCATTTACATTTTAGATAATTTCTTCCAGAGAGCTGATGGCGAAATTGTCAATGTTTGGCAAGCTCCCAATGAGGAACGGGATCCTTATGTGCGCATGATTGCCGGCCGAGAGTCCACTGACCGCCGCTCCCAAGAGCATGAGACAAGAAGCTGGAAATGGTCCGATCTGGTCAGCGTTTCAAAACGCCGCTTTTTATTCCGTGATGTTGCCCTGGAAATATTCTTCACGGATGGCACAAGCTATCTATTAACGCTGATGTCCGCAAAATCGCGCGACGACTTGTGCAACCAGCTCGGAGTCAAGGCGCCTCAGATCACTGGGAGTGCTGGGCACTCGCGACCAGAAGATATTTGGCGGTTTGAGACTCTTCGCAGTCAAGATGATGCACCCCAGTCCCTTGGATCAAAGTTTGCCAGTGTTTTCGGTCATCTCCCGGCAAACCCAGCAACACGAAAATGGGTTAAGGGAGAAATCTCCAACTTCCATTATCTCATGCTGATCAACACTTTTGCCGGACGTACCTTCAACGATTTGACTCAGTACCCTGTCTTCCCGTGGGTCCTCGCAGACTATACGAGCGAGGAACTTGATCTTACCAACCCAGCCACCTTCCGAGATCTGTCCAAGCCTATGGGATGTCAAACCCCGGAGCGAGAAGCGGGCTTCCGAGAACGGTACAATGCATTCGCTGAAATGGGCGACGATAATTCGCCTCCTTTCCATTATGGGACTCACTACTCATCTGCTATGATTGTTAGCTCCTACCTCATTCGTCTCCAGCCATTCGTGAAGTCCTATCTCCTCCTTCAGGGTGGCAGCTTTGACCACGCGGACCGCCTCTTCTATTCCATCCGCAAAGCTTGGGAGTCAGCGTCTCGAGGAAACATGTCCGATGTACGAGAACTGATCCCTGAGTTCTTCTATCTCCCAGAATTCTTTGTGAACTCAAACAAATACGACTTTGGTCTTCTTCAAAATATGACCACGGCCATTGACTCGGTCGAGTTGCCACCCTGGGCCAAGGGTGATCCCAAGATCTTCATCGCGAAGCACCGCGAGGCGCTTGAGAGCCCCTATGTGTCCGAGAACCTGCATCACTGGATTGATCTGGTGTTTGGCAGCAAGCAAAAGGGCGAGGCGGCTATTGAATCTGTCAATGTCTTCCATCATCTCTCTTACAAGGGTGCCAAGGATTTGGACGCTATTGATGATCCGATGGAACGACTGGCTACTATTGGTATTATTCACAACTTTGGGCAAACTCCGCATCAGATCTTCCAGAGACCCCATGCACCGAGGGAAGATCAACGGCACCGCATACCTCGACTGGATACGCTTGCGGAGTCACTAACGCAGATGCCATTGTCTCTTCTTGGTACGCCTTTCCCTCGGCGCTTCTATCCTGTCGAACAATTTATCGATGCTAACACTATGTAGATATCGAAGAGCGAGTAGCCAACCTGTCCATGAAACAGGATCGTCTTCTTTGCACTGCCGCTCTTCGACTCAATGTCCCACCAACCTACGAGTATTACATGGAATGGGGATTCTTCGATGGAAGTGTCCGGTTCTACGCCGCTGACACTCGCAAGGTATGTATCTTTCCATGTGTAAAAGGTTATATAGACTCTAACAGTACTAGCTCTTGGGACACTTTGAGCACCTCCACGTTGGCCAGCTCTCCTACGCCAGTTTCGCAGATTCACGCACACTTGTTACCTGTGGCACCGACTGTACTATTTCATTATGGACAATTACTGCAACGTCCAAGTCGGTTGATTTGCAGCCCATGGGTTCACTCTTTGGCCATCGAGCACCGGTCACCGTGCTTGCCATCTCACGTTCCTTCAGTGCCTTGTTATCTGCGTCGACTGACGGACAGATCATGCTATGGGATCTCAATCGGCGATGCTTTGTGCGAGCACTGCCCGCCGATGGTGCGGTTGATGTATGTTTCTTGTCCCCAGTATCAACTCCACTCCCTCTTATATACTGACGAACTTGCAGTGTGCCCGAATCAACGATGTCTCTGGCGACATCATGGTCTGTCGTGGCAATCGCTTGACCCTGTACACACTGAACGGAGTGGTGCTAGTCGACCAGCTTGTCTGTGATTCAGGCGATGATCACGTCTTGTCATGCGTCTTCTACGAAGGCGTGCAAAATGAGTGGCTAGAGCGTGAATTGGTATTGACGGGCCATTCTCGTGGTGTGGTCAACATCTGGAGCAAAACTATCCGCGCCGGTCGATTCGAGCTGGAGCTGATCCGGCAGCTGCACCACACCGACAGTAGCCGCGACACCGGTGCGAACATTAGCGCGGGCATTAGCTGCATCCTGACCCTTCCCCACGTGGTTTATACCGGGGATGAGGCAGGCCGAGTGGTGAGTTTCAACACTCTGGTATTTCAATTCGTCCAGCTAACGTGATCTTAGTATGAGTGGAATTGTATCCAGCGCCGCTAAGTGTCGGAGTGCTGATCTCCCACATGTTGCATTTTTCTTCTATAGTTTTGTCTCTGTTCATAACCCAAAAGCATCTGAATGTCTGAGGAGAGTGGCGTTTATGGCTTCCGTTTCGGGCAACCCCGCCATCAGGGGAAATTAGCGTCCATAGCGAATATTTAAAGATTGTTCTCCAAACTATGCGCGGTATTTAACCGGGGTCCCGGTGAGCGTGCAGAACCGCTGCATTAGTGGGCCGTCGTCCGGTCTACCATCCTCCGGTTGGGGGTATGTCGGAGCACACTGGGCCGGATCGGGAACATAGGATACTTACTCAGATCAGATGAAGTCATAGTGATATTTGATCTGTATAGAATAGTAGGAGAGAGAAGAACGAGAATTTGCGAAACAGAAAGCCGAACAAGTAGAGAGACAGCAGAAGCAGAGATGTGCCTTGCACCCCTCTCAGTTGTGATTTCATCGCGCAGCGTCATTTGCCCCACCATCCCACCTTGGGATGTGGCACTATCCAGGTACCTCCCTTTATTATGGTTGGGCCATACTAAATTCAAGTACCCGGCAATTGATCTGGTTCTGGTTCATGACACACCCCTCCATCTAAATACCGCGCCGCCGCCACTCTTCACTCTCCTTTTCTTTCTATCCATCAATACCTCTCTTGATTACTTTACACAATGTCTTCTTCTCTCGAACAGCTCAAGGCCACTGGCACCGTTGTCGTTTGCGACTCTGGTAAGCTCCCCACCCTCCGCTTACACGCATGGAACACAGCTAACAAATTCTCTAGGTGACTTCGCCAGTATGTATCCCGGAAATTGCCCGCAAATTGATTTCCGCAATAATGAATGGTGAGCTAATATGACACAGCCATTGGCAAGTACAAGCCCGAGGATGCCACCACCAACCCCTCCCTGATCCTGGCTGCTTCCAAGAAGCCCGAGTACGCCGCCCTCATCGACACTGCCATTGCCTACGGTAAGCAGAAGGGCGGCACCCTCGATGAGCAGGTTGAGGCCACCCTTGACCGCCTCCTCGTCGAGTTCGGCAAGGAGATCCTCAAGATCATCCCCGGCAAGGTCTCCACCGAGGTCGACGCCAAGCTGTCCTTCGACACCCAGGGCTCCATCAACAAGGCCCTCGAGATCATCAAGGTATGTTGAATAGCATCAAATGGATTGAAATACCCGACTAATCCGGAAATAGCTCTACGAGGAGAACGGTATTTCCAAGGACCGCATCCTGATTAAGATTGCCTCCACCTACGAGGGTATCAAGGCCGCCCACATCCTGCAGTCCCAGCACGGCATCAACTGCAACCTGACCCTCATGTTCTCCCTGGTCCAGGCCATCGCCGCCGCCGAGGCCGGTGCCTTCCTCATCTCTCCCTTCGTCGGCCGTATCCTTGACTGGTACAAGGCCGCTCACAAGCGCGACTACACCGCCCAGGAAGACCCCGGTGTCAAGTCCGTCCAGGACATCTTCAACTACTACAAGAAGTTCGGCTACAACACCATCGTCATGGGTGCCTCTTTCCGTAACGTCGGCGAGATCACCGAGCTGGCTGGTTGTGACTACCTGACCATTGCCCCCGCCCTCCTGGAGGAGCTCTACAACTCCACCGACGCTGTGCCCCAGAAGCTCAACGCTGCTGATGCCCACAATTTGGACATTCAGAAGCGCGAATACCTTAACGATGAGGCTTCCTTCCGCTTCGACTTCAACGAGCAGGCCATGGGTGTTGAGAAGCTCCGTGAGGGTATCTCCAAGTTCGCCGCTGACGCCGTTACCCTCAAGCAGCTCCTTGCCCAGAAGATCCAGGCTTAAAAGGCTATGATTTTATGTTTTAAATTTTTTGTAAATTGGCGATCCCCCCAAAATTGGAATCGGTAGATACGAATTGATGAACTTCTGCTCCGGATTCGGTGTCTTTTCAGTAGGAGCGTAGGAGTCCGGCTCAATAAGCAATTTGATCTGGCCGGGTCGGCTTATTCAGAGTTGACCCCGCACAGGTAAGATTTCACAAGTTGATACCGCCGTGTCACTTATGAGCCAGGACTGATATTCCTGGTTTTAATACCCGAGGCTATGTATCAATTGATGATAGGTTCCGGTGTTTTCACTGGGTTTGCGGACAACTCATCGTGGGACCTATGTGAAACATAAAATCCTGACAAGTACATCTTTTGTAGAGAATATTCCACGATGGAGGCCAGAGCTCCAAGCTCGGAGGGGTACCGGTACAAGCGGTACCAACGAAACCTCCACTAGTAACGAAGTACCCGTACTTCGAGGCGGTATAGTTCCATTATGTCATTCCACCTCGTTCCGGCTCGCTCCCGCTTGGGAAGGTGGGGGATCTTTCGTTGTATTTGGTACCCGGTACCAGCTCTTTCAGTGTTTGTTGCTAGGTAATCGAAGTACCCAGTACTTTCCGGAAGTACAATACAGAGTAGAGTCACGTCAACATCATCCGCTTATTATTCCGCCCGTCGCCTCCTGTCTCCTTCTCTCTTCTCTTCTCTATTATATCCAGATACTCAATTCTTCTATCTTCTATCCAAAACATCTCAAAATCTATCAAAATGGTTAAGGCTGGTAAGTCCACTTTTGATCAACCAAACATATCACAGCTCTCCAAAGGTCCCCTGGGACCTTGAGCAAATTTGAGCACCTTGTGATCCTGAGCTCCCACTCCGAGCCTATCGGCTTAGTTCCTCTGCCACATCCAGCTGTAATCTGCAACGTCCCTGTTGAATCTCACAGCTTATTTGTTGATTTCGTGCGATTTGCTTCTGGGTGGGAGCTTGGGAGATCGGGACCAGCTTCCTGGCCTTCGATCGACCTTCTAGAATATGACATTGACCGTTTATATCTGCAGTTGCTGTCCTCCGTGGTGACGCCAAGGTCGCTGGCACCGTCACCTTTGAGCAGGCTGACGAGAGCGCCCCTACCACCATCTCCTGGAACATCACCGGCAACGACGCCAACGCCGAGCGTGCTTTCCACGTTCACCAGTTCGGTGACAACACCAACGGCTGCACCTCCGCTGGCCCTCACTGTATGCTATTTCCGACAAGCCCAGAACTGAATATCGAATATACTAACTGCTGCTAGTCAACCCCTTCGGCAAGCCCCACGGTGCTCCCACTGATGCTGACCGTCACGTCGGTGACCTTGGCAACTTCAAGACCGATGCTGAGGGTAACGCCAACGGTGCCATGCAGGACAAGCTCGTCAAGCTGATTGGCGCCGAGTCCGTCCTGGGCGTAAGTGAACCCTGCATATCACGCAATTGAGGGTGCAAATCACTGATATCTCTTTCTAGCGCACTCTCGTCGTCCACGCCGGTACTGATGACCTCGGCAGGGGTGGCAACGAGGAGTCCAAGAAGACCGGTAACGCTGGTCTCCGCCCCGCCTGTGGTAAGTTGGGATCTAGGGTGTCGTAAATTGAATTAATGCTAATGAATTGCTTAGGTGTCATCGGTATTGCCGCTTAAATGCGCAGTTCTCCTTTATGATTTTCGGACTTGATATCCCCCCTGAAATTGAATTTTGGGTGAAAAGTTCGGGTAGTTCCTGGCTGGATACATGAATGAATGATATTTTTTTACCATGTGTGCTTGGTTCTAGACTGATCTCGCCGTACATGTATACGGAGAAGTCGTAGCTATCGAAGGTGTAGAAGCTTCGAGCGGCCACTGACCGCTTTCCCCCACAAGTCTAAACACCGGCCACGTTTCCCCTCAGGACTTCTCTAAGCTATTCTCAACTCCTTCCTTCTGCTTTGTGTTAACTTTTCTTCTCTTGAATTTGTCCATTTCATCTGATTTGTCCATTTGTTGGGAAGTGGTGTCTGATTTCCAGCATGCCTTTCGAAGCCCGGGTCAAGTCTGTCCTGTCCGGCGACACGGTTGTGCTGTCGCATGTCACCAATCCCTCACAAGAACGCATCCTGAGTTTGGCCTATGTGTCTGCTCCTCGGTTAAGGAGAGAAGGTGATGAGGTGGGTGACTGATCTACATAAATTGTGCTCAATTGCAAACGGATTGCCATGTTTTGGTTTGCTTGCGCGGTTCCTTTCCTGGTGCCTTTTTTTAGTCGCCATTGACGACATAGATTTGCATTGAGGAAAGTCAGAATGAACTGAACTAATATATTTGTCAAATATAGGCATACGCATTCCAATCCCGTGAATTCCTCCGTGAACTCCTTGTCGGCAAGGTGATCCAATTCCACGTCGTCTACACCATCCCCACTGGTGCCAAGCGCGAGTACGGTACTATTAAACTGCCCGGTTTCGACGCTTCATTGCCCGATATCAGTGTGCAAGAAGGCTGGACGCGTGTCCGTGAGGAAGCAGGCAAGCGCAGTGATGAATCTGAGGAGACGATTGCTCTGCTTGAGCGCCTGCGTGCCCTAGAGTCACTCGCTCAGGGTGAAGGCAAGGGAACCTGGGGTGCCGACAATGGTGTGATCGAGACCAGCTATGAATTGACTGGTGCTCGTGAGTTGGTTAGACAAAAGTCCGGTCAACAGCTAGAGGGTATTATTGAGAAGGTCCTGAACGGTGACCGACTTGTGCTGCGCCTGCTTCTTTCCCCGACTGAGCATGTTCAGACTGTGGTTGCGGTTGCTGGTGTTCGCACCCCGTCTGCTAAGCGGATCACAGAGGGCAAGGAGACGGCCGCAGAGCCGTTTGGTGATGAAGCACAGCAGTTTGTTGAATCCCGCTTGTTGCAGCGCAAGGTCAAGGTTTCCCTGCTTGGTGTGACACCGCAGGGACAGTTGGTCGCTACTGTCCTGCACCCGAATGGAAACATTTCTCGATTCCTTCTTGAGGCTGGTCTCGCCCGCTGCCAGGATCACCACTCTACCCTTCTGGGTCCCGATATGGCTCTTCTCCGCCAGGCAGAGCTGGAGGCCAAGGCTGGCCGCAAAGGATTGTTCGTTGGACACACTGGTCCCACTACTGCTGGTGCCTCTGCCGAGGACTACATTGTCACCCGTGTGCTGAACGCCGATACTCTCTTTATCCGCAACAAGGCTGGTAAGGAGAAGAAGGTCAGTCTCGCCAGTATCCGTCAGCCCAAGCCCTCCGACCCCAAGCAGGCTCCCTTTGCTGCTGAGGCCAAAGAGTACCTGCGTAAGCGGGTTATCGCTAAGCACGTCAAGGTCACTGTAAACGGCAAGAAGCCCGCCAATGAAGGCTACGAGGAGCGTGAGGTCGCTACTGTTGTTCAGGGCAACACCAACGTTGGACTTGCCCTTGTGGAAGCTGGTTATTCCTCTGTCATCCGCCACCGCATGGATGACGCTGATCGTTCCCCCGACTACGATGCCCTGCTTGCCGCTGAGGCTGATGCCCAGAAGGAAGGCCGTGGAATGTGGTCTTCCAAGCCTCCCAAGGCCAAGCAATACCAGGACTACTCAGAGAGCGTGCAAAAGGCCAAGCTGGAGCTTGGTATCCTGCAACGCCAGAAACGTGTTCCTGCTGTTGTCGACTTCGTCAAGTCTGGCTCTCGCTTCACTGTTCTTGTTCCCCGTGACAACGCCAAGTTGACCCTCGTCCTTTCCGGTATCCGTGCTCCTCGTTCTGCCCGCGGCCCCAGCGATGCTGGTGAGCCCTTCGGTCAGGAGGCCCACGACCTGGCCAACCGCCGCTGCATGCAACGTGACGTCGAGATCGATGTCGAGACCATTGACAAGGTCGGTGGCTTCATTGGAAGCCTATACGTTAACAAGGAGAACTTCACCAAGGTCCTGCTGGAGGAAGGTCTGGCAACCGTGCACGCATACTCGGCTGAGCAGTCTGGTCACGCCACCGAGTACTTCGCCGCGGAGCAGCGTGCTAAGGATGCCCGCAAGGGTCTCTGGCACGACTACGACCCTGCCAAGGAAGCTGCTGATGCCGAAGAAGCCGCCGAGGCTGCCAATGGCACCGGCACCGGTACTGAGAGCGATGCTGCCCCTACCCAGCGCCGCAAGGACTACCGCGACGTGATGGTCACCTACGTTGACCCGGCCACCGCCAAGCTCAAGATTCAGCAGATTGGCACCGGCACCAACGCCCTCACCGAGCTGATGAGCGCCTTCCGTGCCTTCCACATCAACAAGGCTAATGATACCCCTCTTCCCGGTCCCCCCAAGGCTGGCGACTGGGTCGCCGCCCAATTCACCGAAGACGGCAACTGGTACCGCGCCAAGGTCCGCCGCAATGACCGTGAAAATGAGACCGCCGAGGTGGTCTACATTGACTTCGGAAACTCCGAGTCTCTCCCTTGGGCCAAGCTCCGCCCTCTCACCCAGCCCCAATTCTCCGGCCAGGCCCTCCGCCCCCAGGCCATCGACGCCGTCCTCTCTCTTACGCAGTTCCCCACTTCCGAGGACTACCTCGAGGACGCCGTTGGCTTCGTCGGCGACCAGACCTTCGACCGTCAACTTGTCGCCAATGTCGACCACGTCGACCAGGACGGTACCCTGCACGTCACACTCCTCGACCCCTCCGTCTCCAAGAACCTGGATAACAGCATCAACGCCGACATCATCTCCGAGGGTCTGGCCATGGTGCCTCGCAAGCTGAAGGCTTGGGAGCGTGCTTCCGTCGACACCTTATCCAACCTCCGCGCACTCGAGGACGAGGCGAAGTCCGAGCGCCGCGGAATTTGGGAGTACGGCGACCTGACCGAGGATTAAATTCCTGTACCTACTTTTTACCTCTTGTTTGATTTCACCGCTGTGAGGGGCGACTGTACAAAATAATTGTTGGGGTTGACCCTTCCCTTACCATCCATCCAGCTAACCATGTAAACCATTTCCATATGTGATTCTTTGCTAGGAAATGAATTGTATTGTGTTTCTGTGTTCCACATTACTTTCTAGGCTCGTAGCGAGATCCTTGGTTTGAATATACCAACTCTATAGACTGTTCAAAGACTTTCCCTGGTTGGTCCTTCCGATTAGGTTTTCCGATCTCCGTTGATCTACGTGGTCCATGCCTGCACAGATAGCCCTAATCTAGGCCTGCATCCGAGACATACAGTAGACCCTATGATGTGAGCTTGCTGGAATAAAGTCCTTCATCTGCGTTGGTTGACCTGGTCGCGTAGGGCTTTATATTATGTGGCAGCGGGCTGGGTATATTGTTGGAGAAGATATAAATGTATAGCGTATGCTATTGAGCCGTGCAAGGCGGCTGATTCAGGGGCTCTTCCCTGCGAACCCCTGGGGACTGGGCTTATCTAGATCTGTCTTGGCGTAGATGGAGTACTTTGGGTATTGTCAGTCAAGTTGCAAGAAAATACAAGTATTGTTCATTTATTTCAATAAACAGCTTCTAAAGACGAAGTACTGTAGTACTCTTCATGTTATTCTAAACCCAAGGAATAGAACTATCCGACTTTCAAGTGTAGACATCCAACTCGATATGTCAGATTAATTTTCACCGCCTCTTTCCCTCCGCCACCGATCCCCGTCCAAGTTGATCTCCCCCAAACAACCTAAAAATAATTTTAAAAAAACTACATTAAAAGTCCAGAGACCGATCACCATGCTCTGGGGAAGCAAAACCGCGCAGGCCTCCGGGCCCGACCTCACGCGCACCGAATCCGCCTCAAAGAACGACCCCTCCGCTTCCGCCTCCCAAGCCTCCGGCACCGCATGGCTCTCCGGACACCTGCACCACCTGACCCCTGAGCAGGAAGAAAAGCTGCAGGAGTTCAAGACACTGTGCGCCGAGCGCAAATACTACACTCCTGCTGTGGAACAGGCCGAGGGCGTCGAGGCGAAGACTGCTAGTCATGACGATGCTACTATGCTGTATGTATACCTAGCACTACCCCGTGCAAGGGAAATTGAATGAATACTGATCATTTTCTGGTATTGCAGACGCTTCTTGCGTGCCCGCAAGTTCGACGTTGAGGGTGCGTGGGGTCAATTCAAGGATACTGAGGATTGGCGCAAAGACAATGCTATCGAGGCTCTGTATGAGAACATTGGCGTGGACTCTTATGAGGCTGCCCGGCGGATGGTGGGTTTCTTGGACTACCTGGATTGTCCGCAGGAGGCTATATATTGACTTTTCTCACTACAGTACCCACAATGGACTGGCCGTCGCGATCGCCGCGGAATCCCGGTCTACGTCTTTGAGATCCGTCACCTCGATAACAAGGCCGTCGCCGCTTACAACTCTACCATGACTACCGGTACACCGGAGACACACAAGTCGTCCACTGTCCCAGCGCGCTTGCTGAACCTTTTCGCTTTGTATGAGAACCTTCTCCGGTTCGTGATGCCGCTTTGTTCATCGTTGCAGCGGCCAAACCCGGAGACGCCTATTGTCACTTCTACCAATATTGTGGATGTTAGCGGTGTTGGATTGAAGCAGTTCTGGAACTTGAAGAGCCATATGCAGGATGCCAGTGTTTTGGCCACGGCGCATTACCCCGAAACGCTGGATCGGATCTTCGTATGTCATTCCCCACCGTGATCATTCCAGAGATATGTTTGTCATCACCGAGTTCGACATTCAAGACTGACTTGCTTTAGATTATTGGTGCTCCTGCGTTCTTCCCTACCGTCTGGGGCTGGATCAAGCGCTGGTTCGACCCAGGCACCACCTCCAAGATCTTTATTCTGTCCGCATCAGAGGTGCAGCCTACTCTTACTTCATTCATGGAACCATCCAGCATTCCCAAGCAGTATGGCGGTGAACTCGACTGGACCTGGGGCGAGATGCCCAACCTGGACGAGCCCGCCCGTGAACTCCTCCAGGGTCTTGAGCAGGATCAAGTCGAAGGCGAAAAGAGAAAAGACATCCTCAAGGGACCCATTCTGTTCGAGGGTGATCACCTGAAGGTGTTGGGCACAGTCGATGGAAAGGACCGGAGAGAAACCATCCCCGTCCCGAAGTCGCAGGTGTTCTCTGAGCCAAAGGCCCCCGCCAAGTCCACAGACTCGGAGGCAAAGACCGACGAACCCACTGAGACTAAGCCCGAAGACGAGAAGGCTGTTGATAACGTGGCGATAAAGGTTAATCAGCTGTCCGTCGACGAGACTCAGACTGCTGCTGCATAGAGCATATAGAAAGGCAGCAGGATTGGGAGTGTGGTTAGGGCTAGGGATTTGGAAATGGCACAAGACGATGCAGATCACATTACCGAGGCTTGTTGCTTTGTTGGTAAATGATGTGTCTTCTGGAATATACGTCTGCCTGGATTGTGTGATTGATCGTCTTCCAAATGGGAGTTGCATGTGCACTTATCTATTGCCTACTGCATGGAAAGTGAGTGGTTTGTGGGGACACCACTGTTCTCTTCTCTCGTGTTTCTCAACGTTCTTTGCCTTCTTTTCTTTGGCTGTTTCCCTGCCCGTTCTCCATATGTGGATCTATCATGTGGAAATGTCCGTTACAGGCTTCCAGACTTGCAGTCTTACTGTACAAGGTTGCATGGTTTGTGTTTTGTTACTTTTCTTTCCTAGTTCTTTGATCATTTCGGGGCTTCTTTTCTTTCATTTTATTTACATTCGCATGTTGATATCCCCGTACACGAATAGTTGAGGCGGTTGTTGATACATAGAGCATCTTCTTTTCTCTTACATTGCCATGGTGTATTTAGACATCCTGTTTCATACCGCAGAATGAACTCAATGAAATTCGGATCCGAGTATGTAGATCTGGAATATTTTGATCAATAATCTGTTTATTGCAGTTTAACCGACCCCTTGTGAAACTAAGATTAGATCGTCATCTGATAAACTATCATGAAACGAAGTGTCTAGAATCCTCATTTTTCGGTGTTTATCCAGTCTTCGACCAATTAGGAGCGCTGATCACATGACTCAGGGGCACGTTATGCAGGCGACGTCGCACTGCATCATGACATCTATAAAAACTACATGTATACATGTACACGTTCTCTACCCAGACTATGATACAATCAGGAGTCATAGGCATCCTATGCCATGAACCTATGATGCAATGATACTCCGACCCCAGAGACAGATCGTCCCCTGCCAGGTAACCGAGTTGAGCCCAAGCGCGAACTAGCGCAGGGAAACAGTCAGATTGTTGGGGGATCACACCTAGACGAGCAACGATCGACATCATGTTCAAACGAAGCCAAAAGTCCGAGGCTCATTTTTGCGGAGTGAGAAGATGTGGGTATCCTTCACATGTGCCGAGCGCCAGTCGCCGAACAACTGGGGGGATCGACAATGAGCCAAATCATTTATAAAAATCCACCCGCTGCCTCAATCGTGGGGTTTCGAGTGCAAATTTTGATACGTGATACGGAATAGTCATGGAACGCAATCCAAAGGACTCTATGAAGTCCACCTGGCGGCAACTCGCCCGTTCAGAGTGGACTCTCTTCCACTGGTTCTACGAACTACTTGGCATCCACCCCGAACATCTCGACAAAAACGTCCCAGTCCATCTGAAAGAGGACGCAGTCCCATACGTCCCAGACTGGTCGATGCACCGCTGGGTCCTCACGCACGCCGTGATCCCCCTGCTCATCCACCACGCCTACGTGGTAATCACCGGCCACAACCTCAGCGCCTGGGGCGCTTTCATCCTATACAGCCTAGCCTTCAAAGGCATCGCCATCCACGAGCTCCATGTCCTCCGCCGCCTAGGCCATCAACACGGCTTCCTAGACGGCGACAAGCACGCCCGCGATGGTGTCCCAGACGTCGGCGTCGCAAAGGTCGTCCGCTCGTTAATGTCAACCTCGACCTTCCGCCCTATGTTCACAGTCTTCCTAGCCTACCGCTCAACGCACGAACCATCAACCATGAGCTTCGCCTGGCTACCCCTTGAAGTCGGTCTCTACGGTATCATCCTCGACTTCTGGTTCTACTGGTACCACCGTTTAATGCACGACGTCGGCGCGCTATGGAAATACCACCGCACCCACCACCTTACCAAGCACCCGAACCCACTCCTCACTCTGTACGCCGATACCGAGCAGGAGTTCTTCGATATTCTCGGTATCCCTGTGATGACCTACTTCACCATGCGGCTCATGGGTATGCCCATGGGTTTCTACGAGTGGTGGGTCTGCCACCAGTATGTCGTGTTCGCCGAGTTGGCGGGCCACAGTGGTCTACGTGTGCATGCTACCCCGCCTTCAACGCTTAGCTTTGTGCTGCGCTGGTTTGATGCTGAGCTTGTGATTGAGGATCATGACTTACATCATCGGAAGGGCTGGAAAAAGAGTCATAACTATGGCAAGCAGACGAGGCTTTGGGACCGGGTTTTCGGTACTTGTACTGACCGGATTGAGTCGGTTGAGCATAATATTGATTATGTCAACGCTTCGCCTATGCCGTTGTATTGATTAGGATGTTGGCTTTTTGTTTTTGGTTTGTTTCTTTGGCGTGGAAAAAGGCTTTGATTATAAATTCTGTATAGTTGTGGAGGATTGATGCTGCTTTTCTGTTTCTTTTTTATACTTTGATACCATTTTAGATATTCTGGACATACTGTCTACGACTGAATGAATACTCTCTTTTTATTCGCTCGGGTTTCATGACCAACTGTCGCAAAGTGTATCTTTGCCAATCCCTTGATGCAGGGAAGCTAGTCTATTTTATAGATTTGCGTACAAAGAAGGGTAAACAAACACTGAAATTTCAGGCATCAAATCAACCAAGAAACTTCACAGGTACTTGAAAAATACGTCAGAATATTCAAATGAACATTGGAAACCGGGGCTTTGGGGTCGGAAGTTGTGAAGATCTGATACTAGGCTGAATGGGGCGTTCCGTATTCCATGCCCCGTGACATCCACATCGAGGCTGGGTCAGCACTGCCCTTTCCCTTGGATGTCTCTAGCGTCTGATATCTGGAATTGTCGGGTTTGCTGGTTATAAAAACCCGAGGAGCCTCCTACATACTCCAAGCCACGTCCACCATCAAAAACCGACCCCACAATCACCATGCTGGAGCATTCAAGCAAGTTGGAATTCACCCAGTACGAAATCGCCGGTGGTAATTGGAACTCTGAATACCAAATCAGGACCGACGACTCAACCATCTACCACGTCCAAAACTCAACTTCCACGCCAGACAAACCAGAACTTACTTTCTACGCCGGAACGAACACCAATGGTCCAGTCGTGGGAACCGGCAAATTCATTCGCTTCTCATCAGACGTCAAGATCAATCTAGGTGATCCAAGCCATCCGGACAAGACAACATGCACTACCACTCTAAGCAAGAAGGGTTTCCTCTCAACCCGCCACACCTTCCAAATGGATCTCCACGGCGAAAAGCGTACTTTCACTTGGAAGAACACTGAATCCCATGAGAGCTTCGGTCCCACTGGGAGCCACAAGATGGTTGACGAACAGAACCAGGTTCTAGCGGTTCTGTCACCTGGTGGTGGTCGCGTACAGAAAGATGGGTACGTGAATGTTTATGCATTCTGGGGTGAGAGCTTTGATTTGATGGTTCTTGTTACAGCGCTGGTTCTTAGGGAAAAGACCAGGCGGGAGAAGGGTGAAAGTTCGTATATTGCGGGTGGTGGTGGCCTAGCTACGTCTACGTTTTGAAGGGATAAGTTATCATAATTTGAAGTACGTTTTACGATACCTTTTATAGTAGACCTCGGTGTCACTACTCTTTCTCTATGATAGTTAGGTCCCTAGTGGTCCGTTTACTTTGGCATATCTAGTATTTAGTACACTGCCGTCATGGTTTGATATTTTTAAAGGGCTATGTTAAATCGACCGCCGCTTTATGATAAACGGACCGGCTTACTATCTTAGAGAAAGCGTAGTATCTACGTTACCAATACCTACGGTACGAATTCGCCATATTAAAATCATAGTAAGCCGTTATTAAATCCAAAGTAAGTCCATAGAATGTGCTCGAGTATCATGTCTTTAAGCTCTTATCCTAAATAAGTTCGGTGATTCGCTCTGTCATGTTTACATTTTACGTTTACTCTAAAGTACTGATGATGTATATTTATAAAAAAAATGCGTTTGAGAACTAATATCAATCTAGCACAACGCGAATAATACCCAATTAACATTGTGGCAAGATATTGCCATGAATCTAAGGAAATAATCTAAGTTAACTTATAACTTGTCAGCAAAGTTAGCAATATTAAAAGAGATGAGAATTTTCAAACGTTCTCAATATCGAACCGCAGGTTTAGCTGTTTTCGTTTCACGTTGAAGAATGTGATTTTAGCAATTCGCTTGACACCTTGGCCATACGCACCTAGAATGAAATATGCGACAACCTTGCCAAGTCGCGTACCCAGCAAGGCATTGAACTCCGGCGATGGAGGCATCCAGACTCCCGTAGGCCACTTTCCATGGTCATCATCGCTTGGATATGGAAGCCGATGAGTGTCGCAAAATTGTCGTGATACACTCTACTGTGTCCTCGTTCTGGACATCGGTCAGAAATACGTACCGCAAGTCACTCAGTGAGGAGTAGTTTTCATAGATCGCCTTGGTCAGTTCGGAAATCCATGGAGCGGTTGAGTCACTTTCTCTCCTGATACATTCAATGATCATCACTCCTGGACCAATGTGCCCGGACCAGTGGGCCCATGGGAGTTCGTTCTTGTGAAGTGAAAGGAATTGATAGACAGAATCTGCGTCTTCTACTGAAGTCTCGACTGGTAGACCCAGACTGGCGACCCAGTTAGATTGTGTCAGGCTCAAACATGTCGTTTTGTTATATATGAAATATTTTGACGGCGGCAGATTTGCCATGGTAACCGTGGTCTTAGGGATAGGACATCCGGGTTCATTGGCGTTATTCAACCATTTTCCCAACTTTTCCCCCTTCCGGTCCCACTTAGGGTAACTTGGAGTCATTGAGATGTTGCCGATTTAACGATTTGTTGATGTAACTTGTTTTCGTGTTCAGCTATAGGGTGGTTCCGGCTACCTTAAATAGCTTTACTTGCGACATGGCAGCGAGGGACTTGACAGTACTATCAAAGAGACAATGGGATTATGCAAATAATGAGATAAAAGAGATACTCGATGAAAGCCCATTCTACAATTAAAGGGACCAAAAAGCCAAGGGTCAAAATCATCTCAGACAAAGAGTGAAAGAGGTCTTGAGTGGCTAACACCTCGAGACTGGGGTTAGATCAAATGGTTCACGGAAATGGACAGCACAGTGGTGCTGGCCAGGTAGGAAGCTTCTATTTGGTTGTCCCCGGAGCTTCCTCAGCTCTTGACAATCTCCGTTCGTCTGCTCTTTCGATAGGTAGTCGAAGACTTCACCACCAGCCGCCTTGCGCTTAGCAGCTGTCTTGCTGACCGTGACTGTCTCGCCATACCAGACTTTCCAGTCCCCTGTGCATCGACCATGGTGTTTGCGCTTTTGACTTATCCAGAATTCTTTCTATCTCGCCACTACTTCTCCTGCATCCGACCACCATCATCAGTGAATCCGGTCTTTCCGCTGATGACACGGTAAACAATCGTTCAATTCATGCGGTGTCATGGTTGGATACACATCTTTGTTGGTATCGAAGATTACAAGCCAGTGATTGAGTCTGACCTTGTCGAGGGAGGAGCCTGCGGCGCTCATCCAAATTTCCTGGTTGCGACTGGTTTGCTGGTCGGGGACTTCAAGTCAGACGAATGCCCTGATATTGTCCACCCTATGTCGCCAACTGAGGGTGGCAGATAGAGACTTGAAGAACCGGGAGCGAGCTTTGCCAGAACCTTCGCTCGGTGTCCTTGTTCAAATGTGAAGACTAGAAATTGCTCGAGTGAATTCTGCAAACATGTGACCTCGAGAAGTCCCTCTCAAACTCGTCGTATTGGAACTCCCTCAATTGTTGGCAGTCGTAGGCCATCGTATCCGGCCGTGGCAATCGTTTGATAGGAGGCGACTCCGTTCAAAGGTTAGCAGATTCATAGAGATATCAGTCACTCATCAAAGCTAGAATAACCTAGATCTGTGTCGTCTTTTTTGTCGTATAAAAGAGGATAGGTGAAAGGATGAGAGGATAACCAAGAAAGAGGGTGAGGAAGTAAGATAGTAGATGGATATGGAGGAGGGTAAAGCTAGAAACTAATAGCCATAGATAATAGGGAACCCTTTCCGATAATTAAGAAGTAAAAGGGGAATAGAATATATTATCTAGCTAAAGCTACTCTCGCTCCTAATAATCAAGAGAGTAAGGAAGGGGAGAGAAGAAGAGCAAACAAAGGTCATATTGACTGGCCCAATCAACTCCAATGGAAAGGAATATCAAATAGCTTTTTGCTCGATTTATTTCTTGCTGTATTATTCATTTCAACTGTACTCTGTTCGCCTCATTATATTAATCTATATCAAACGCAATAGATTCATCTACTGGGTGCTCCAAATCGTGCATAAGTCTAATCACGTCTAGTCTCCCAACCAAGCAACTTGACAGGCCGCTAATCTAAGCCTTGCCATCAGACAGCGAGACAACAGCCCACTTACCGCTCCAGGCCCACTTGCGAGACTCCGAGCCACCACCACCGGGCAGTTCACGAAGTTTCTCGTCCTCGCCGGGGGGAAGGCCAACAACGGTATCAGCCTTGCAAGTGCGGAAGGCCAAGACACGAATACCAGACTTGGGACCGAGGGGCCCGATAGCCTCTGTGAATGGCGTGGTAGGATCCCATGCGGCCTGCATGTTTTAGCATACGTTCAAGTTTACCCGTGAATGAAAGGGTCCACTTACATCATTGACCAACTTCCGGTAGTTCAAATCACCCTTGAACAAGACAAGCTCGCTCTCCTTCAAATCTTCAAACAGCTCCGGTGCAACATGCGGCATACGCCAATAACCACCCTGAGTAGTCCAGAACGCATGCGGGCGCAAAATTAGCTTACCATCCTGGTGGAACTGGCTCCACTGCTCGAAGAGGAATTGCACGTCGGACACCTCCTTCTCTGAAAGTGGCGGCGGCGTCTTGCCCGAGTCATCGGCGGCTGTGTAGAAGGCTTGTGGGTCGACCATGCTGTTGAGGAGGTCGGAGAAATCCTTCGGCGTGACATCGGACACAAACCATGGGAAACGTTTGGGGTGGAGAACGACTGTTGTCGCCAGGCCTGCGGAGAGCAAGTATCCGCCGAGAATTAGGTCGACGAAGAGCTCGAAGCCGGAGTTGTCGAGGACAATGTCGACGCGGCGCTCGCCGTCTTTCTTCTCTTTGCGTGCTTTTTGCATGGCCTCGAAGGCAGCGTCGAGGTCGTTGACGATGATGTTCTTTTGAGAGTCCTTGCGCGCTTGAGAACCTTGAAGCTTTTGGATATCCTCGTATGTGAGAGATGTCAAGAGAGAAAGGTCGGTAGCATTGCCCCATAGGCAGATCTCGCACATCTCTGAGAAGAGAAGCTTCTCGGCTTGTTCAACCTGTTCGGGCGACTTTCCTTCCGCTCCTTTGCCTGATTCTGCTTCTAGTGCTAGCTCGCGATATCTTGCGGCGAGTTCTAGTACGGCAGGGCGAGAGGACTTGAATGTGTCCATCTTCTGGCGGGCGAACACATCATAGCCCTTCCAGTGCTTTGACAATGCGAAGAGAGCTTCTATCCGGCGATCTGTGTTGATATCAGGTCAGCATCGGTTTACTTTTTACATTCAGTTGGCTGGGGACATTTGGCATACAGAGGTAGCATTCAGAGTACAGCCAGGGCGCGTCGTGCCAGTGAGGGTTTCCTCGCTGCTCCAGCTCCTGGTTGTAAGAGGCAATATCAGGGTGTCCGTCGTCGTCCAAGGGGCTATTAGTTGATTGGTTAGACAAGTGTCCTCTTCAAGGTGTGGAACGAGAAGACTCACGTAAGTTGTCGATCATGCTGAAGCTCATACTTCAACTTAGCCATGTTGGCAATGATACCCTTGCCTTCATTGGCCTTCTCGTCATCATCCACACCAACGACCGTGCGGTGCAGGTCATCAATGGCACCAGTCTATGCCCATCACATATAATCAGCAATTGACACCGAGGCTTTAGTCGTCCGAGGTAAGCTTACAATGATAACGGGCCATCGGTCATTCGCCGAGACCGAGGCAAAGCTCGACTTATCGGAAGTGAGGTATTGAGCTGATCAGGTTAGCATCGGATATAATCCGTCGTCAAGACACCACTTACGAGTCTTAGGATCGAATTCCATGACTGCTTTATGTGAAGTTGTCTACCAATTCGGAGAGCAAAAGAAGTGCATGGGGCAGAATCGAGGGGAAACCGCGGGGCAAAGGCGGTGTGAAGTATATAACGGCAACGTCACAACTACAGTACAGGGAACAAGTTGGAACACGTCAATCATGCACATAAATACATTAGGAACATCATTTCTAGATCTCTTGGCAACGCCGCGCTTGCAAATCAGATTCCCTATCACATTCCCATAAGAGGCGAGTTTTGTGCATATGCCTGGGACTGTTAGCTTGAAACTTGAGTCGAGATTGAAGGGAACTTACCATCGGCTTGATATCGGGGTGAGGCACGGCCTCGAACACTTCATAGTTGAGCTTGAGTTCAGGGCCGATGTTAATGTAGGCACCCTTGTTTTCGGTCGAGTCGCAATACTTGGGAGCGGAGAAGACGGTGATACAGCGGCCGTCGTGCTCGACCTCGTAACCATCCATGCGCACCTCGTGCGAGCGGATGATTGCTTCCAGGCCGTTGTTCTCGCAGAAGCGCTTGGTGACATCTGGTCCGAATTGGAGGCCGACTCCACGTTTGCTGGGGCCACGGCCGGGCATTGTCTGCGGGTCGGTCCAGAGCATCTCCATCATCAGGCCGGCTTGGCCGGGTTGCCGTTGGTTGTGGCGGTTGAGCTTGCGGATATCGTTCAGGGTAATCTTGTCGTCGGAGAAGAGACCGCCGTGTAGAACGAGGTACTTGTCGCCGATCAGGGTGGCCAAAGGAAGGGCGGAGAAGGACTCGGAGAACACCTTGAATACGCGTTCGTTATACTTGGCCTTACATTCGCCTTCGAATCCGTAAACCTTATTCATATCGTCCGTTTCATGGTTTCCGCGGTTGAGGAAAAGACCGTTGGGTCGCAGCCACTTGTATGCATATAGGAGCAGGGCAATTTCGCAAGACCAGGAGCCACGGTCGACAAAGTCACCGTTGAAGAGGTAAGCGTGGGTATCGGAGGGAGCGCCGTTTCGTCTGAAGATCTCAAGCAAATCGAAGAATTGGCCTTTTCAAATTAGCAATCGCTTAACTATGCGGTGGTAGGCCGAACATACCGTGTGTATCACCACAAACCGTCAACTTCTTGCCAGACTCAACGCCAACCTCCACCATCGTGGGCTCGGCGTAGACGAGATCCTTGACAGCCTTGATTATCTGGAAGACATACTTGCGGTGGATCTTCTTTCCATCCTTAAACCGCTCAATCATGTCGTCAATGAATTCCTGTGACATTTCTTCGCCGAGGCGCACACCATCGTAACCATCCTCAACCTTGATAGCCTCAATATCCAGGTCCGCAAACGCGGAGGGCGGGTCCGAAACCTCAATGGCCTTCTCGAAGTTTATGCGGCGAACAAGCTTCTCGCACTCGGCAGTCTTGAGCTTCGCGCTCTGGTTGGCGGGCTCCCGCTTGACAACAGCCTTGAAATCCTTCAAAGCATCCTGGTAGCTAAGAATGGCAGCATAAGCCAGGGCACGGCGCCAGTAAGCCTAGAAGAAACCCAATTTCAGTATATATCCTCACACAACCTCCATCTGCAGGTGTATAGGTATTGTTCTTCCTGCAGGATATGTAGCGACGGACCTTCACATAGTTGGGATCGAGTTCCAATGCCTTTGTAGCGTCGGCGATGGCAAAACCGAATGCCTCGAGTTTGAATTGGGCCTGTAGCAGGGGACGTATCAGCAAACACCATTCCAGTCTAAATGCACACGCGACTCCCGAGTTTGTGCCACCATGAGTATCAGGAACGCACCTGGGCCCGGTTGCAAAAGAAGGACGGATCCTGGTCATATTTATCGATAGCCTGGTTATAAAAGTCGACAGCTGTAGGCCAGTCATGCGCAGCAAAGGCCTTGTTGCCCTGCACCTTGAGAGCCGTGCCGGCTTCTTGATCGGTAGCCATTGGGGGGCGGAGGAAAATGCGAGGGGCACGAGACAAGCGATGATCGGGATCGGACAGAGGGTTAAAAGAAAGCAAAGAGAAAGAGAGCAGAACCCCAAATGGAAAGCTCCTGAATAAGAGAGAAGGTAATAATAAGAAAAAGAAAGAGAACTAAGCGTGGCGGCTAAAAAAAAAACGAAGGGACTCTTGTTCCTGGTTCTCCCATGTTCTTTTTCCCCGATCGCAACGGGGCTTGGCATCCAGACTCGACCTCCGATCTCTTTTCACTCCTCCTTGCCTTCCTCTACAGCTTACCAATGTCTTTCTACGCCGCTCCAAACCAGCAGCGCACGCTGCGTGCCTGCATGGTCTGTTCCGTCGTCCAAATCCACAATGTATGAGCTCTTTCTCTTACTTTCCGCAGCTTACTCTGACCACCCCGGTTACTCCAGAAATTCATGCGCGAAGGCTGTCCGAACTGCGAAAATACCCTCCAGCTCCGCGGGAACAATGACGCTATCCAAGAATGCACGTCGCAGGTCTTTGAGGGTCTAATCGCTGTTCGGGATCCAGCTGTTAGCTGGGTTGCTCGCTGGCAGCGGTTGGATAACTATGTGCCGGGTACATATGCGACCAAGGTGACAGGTTCGGTGAGTGAAGTCTCGAATTTCTGAGGCGATGTACAATGGAATTTAATTGCTGCAGACCTCATGTCTGTCGAGCAGTGTTGCTAATTCTGTCCGTGTCAATAGCTCCCTGAATACATCATCAGCAGTCTCGAGGACTCTGGAATCAAATACGTCCCGTGCGTGCGCCCCAGCTCTATAAACACAGCCTTCGTGGCTCTTTTCTTCGGTCATACTGACTACTTGTCACAGGCGAGATGGAAGTACCGGCGAGGAGGATGCTTGAAGTACCTACCGGTCTTGGGCACTCCACGACCTCCCCACCCTTGTTCATACGATTCTGGTCCAGATACCCCTATAGCACACGCCATTCGATAAGCGGGGTGGGAAATGGTTTGGACAATTTTGCTGGTTAGGAGTTTCGGATGGAGCATTGCAGACTTTCTTATTTCTTCATATTACTTATTGGATTGCAAGGGCATGGCAGGACCAAACTGCTGCTTATGAGACTAGTGCCAAATTCCTTTCTCTGGAACCATAGAACATAACCGCGGCTGAGACGATTATCACTACAAGTCTCGGTGATTATCTTGGGTCATAATTCAATTGACAAACAAACTGTCTAGAAATGTACATGGCCTTTTTGTATGGCATAAACTCGTTGCAGCAAGATTGAAGAAAAAAGTAACAATCATCAAAATAGTAAAAAAAGAAAACGCTCATTAAATCAAGTTCAAACGCCCGGGCAATTTTCCAAAAGTCATAACTCAGAAAGGATATCGCCGGGTCTGAGTTTAGACGGCCTGGATGATCTGCTCGAGCTTCTCGAGCAGGATATCAGCGTGGTGCTTCTGGAAGACGAGCATGGGGCGCAGGCGGACAGCGGAGGCGCCACTGCCACCGATGTTGATACCGAAGGACTTGGCCTTGGCGACGAGCTGGTCACGCTTGGGGGTGTCCCAGGCGATGAATGTGCCCTGGTTCTTACCACGCAGATTTTGGAAGTGCTGGGGGTACTTCTCGGCGAGACGCTGGAGACCGCCGTACAGGTAGTCACCGGTGATGCGGGTGTTCTCGACTAGGCCGAGACGCTCGACTTCATCGATGATACCGCGGAAGATCAGAGCGCGGGCTGGGTCACCCATCCAGGTGTTGAACTGGCGGTAAGGCTTGTTGGGGCGCAGGGCAGGGTTGCCGTAGTAGTAACCGGCAGTCTGGGCCTTCTTGGAGAAGGTGACCATGTCGGGGGGTGAGGACAGGTTCCAGTGGTCGTGGGCCCAGAACTTTCCGGTGGCACCGACACCGGTCTGCACCTCATCGACGATGAAGAGGACGTTGGTACGCTTGGTGATGTCGCGGAGACCCTGGAAGAAGGCGGGTGAGGCGTGGTTGTCACCACCCTCGGACTGGATGGGCTCGACCATGACGGCGGCGACGGGGTTGTGGAACTCCTTGATGAGGCGCTCGACCTCGGCCAGGCAGCGCTGCTCCTCGGCGGCGTTCTCCTGGACGTGCTCCTCCAGAGGGTACTTCAGCTGGGGGAATGTGGCCTGGGGCCAATCGAAGGCGGGGATATCCAGCTTGTGGATGGCCTTGGAGCGGGTAGTGGAGAGGGATCCGAAGAGACGGCCGTGGAAGGCAGACTTGAAGGACAGGATGGAGAGCTGGGGAGAGCCGGGGCCGGCGTTATTCATGGTGGAGAGCAGCTCCTCCTCGGTGAACTCGACCTCGGGGCCACCACGCTGCATCTGGCGGTAGTACATGAAGGCCGCCTTGTAGGCAGTCTCGTTGGCGTCGGAGCCAGCCATGGCAGTGAAGACCTGGTCAAGACCCTTGGGGGCGGCGCGGAGGACACCAGTCTTGAGGACGTGAGCCCAGTCGGAAGAGGGGAAGTTACCCAGGGCTGGGCGGTTGATGAGGGCAGAGGTCATCTCGGGGGTGGCAGCAACCTCCTTGAGGTGGGGGTTGTTGTAGCCAACGGGAATAGACGCGATTTGAGCATACACATCGAGCAGCTTGTTGCCATCGAGATCGGCAATGCTAGGGAAATGTTAACAAAGTCATAGTAGAGGAATTGGCTGTCTTACTAGTTACCAATGGACTGGTTGTAGTCAGTCAGCATGTTCAAGCTGCGAACGTCGAAGACCTTATCGAGCTCGGCGGCAGCAGCCTGGTTCTTGGGGCCGGGGATAGCGCCGGAGACAGAGGGAGCGGTAGGCTCATTGGGAAAGTAAGGCTTCTCGGACGCCCGGAGAGAGGCAGTGGTAGAGAGAGACCGGGCAGCAGGGAGGCGAGCGGCAGAGCGCAGCCGTGTGCTGGCACGGAAAACCGAGGCCATTGCGAATTATAGGGAGATGGGAGTATAGAAGGCTGTCCGAAGAAGTATAGAATCGGAAAAGCAGAGGTGTGTGACAGAGAGAGAACAAAAAAATGCGCGGGGTGACTTTATATGGCAACTGTTATCGGTCTTATCCTGGAGCTTCAGAGCTTCTCCCCGCGTATAGGTCGGCGGTTTCAGCCAATCATATACCCTCATTAACAGCGAAACGCCGAAGATCCGATGGGGAATGTCGACGGATTGAGAAAGTCTACGCTGGTGGATTTTATAGTCAATTCGATATGGTAAGAGTTTCCATCTCGACAGCTATTACTGTACATTGCTCAATTGGGGTCGAGTCACGCGGGTGTCGTTGTTCTTCTGTACATTACTTCTCCCTGTCGATCACTGATAAGCTAGATCTCACTCTTGGCACGTTCCTGTATCTATGCATAGGTTATGTGTTGGTATAATTATGCGGGGATCCTTTGGTCTCTCACCGCAACTTTAGGTATCATTCGTCTCTCGTAGATCCATACTAAGCACATTGGGTCTGGGCTATGGATATTGTTGTACAGATACCGGTTCACTATAGACTGCGAATGAATATATATCTCAACCATGAACTATACCACCAACCTCCGAAAACTGCAAACCGGTTAACAGATCGAGCCCGACGGAGTAGCGAATGAAGATATAGAGGTACCAAGCAACTATATTCTTTCCACTTACTTAGTTGACTCAATTGACCCTGTAGGGCTGCATGAGCTTGCCGATTGGCCTGGAGAGACCCACCCCACCACCAAAACATTGCCGTTCCGCTCATGAAGCAATAACATTATTGACCAATCAATCAATTGGGCTTGTGGTTTAGTGGTATAATACTCCCTTAGCATGGGAGTGGTCCGGGGTTCGATTCCCCGCGAGTCCATTGCTTTTTGTTCCCTGTTCGTTTGCACCCAGCCTTTATTTCTTGGGTTGAATAGTGGTGTGGCGGCGATAATAGATTTTTCCGTCGGCTCGATGGATAGGGATTTTGGGTTATGATGTCAATTAGTGCTGGGACAATCCGGGTTCCATAACTCAGTTGGTTAGAGTGTGGTGCTAATAACGCCAAAGTCGAGGGTTCGACCCCCTCTGGAACCACGATTTCTTTTTGCATCTCCATTTATATGGAAGATATATTTTGATATCTGGATTGATATTCGTATTGATGTGATACGATGTGATACGATGTGATATGATACCTCGGCTACATACACCCTCTCAAACCAAGAAAGAAGCAAAGAAACCCACAGCTAGAGAGGCAACAACACTGACCGAGGGGGTAGAGATATCACCAGCCGAATTAGAAGGCGAGGATGTAGAAGAAGATGAAGACGACGACGATGAGCTCGTAGAACCTCTTGAACTAGATGCAGTTGCACTCGCCATTCCTATACCCGTAGAAGTTGACATCGAGCATTCGGCACTAGAAACTGTCTCTCCTGTCCTAGTCCCAGTCCCAGCCGAAGTCTCAGTGGCAGTCATAGTAGGATCGAAAGAAGTAGTAGTAAAAGAACAAGACTGAACAAGATCATTAGCATCTAAACAAAGGTTAGTCCCACTCCCAATAAATAAACAAATACAAGGACAAAACAAACCATTATTCCTTCCCTTACTATACTTCGAAATACAAGCATCACATATCGACAAACTCGAAGCAGCCTTGGAATCCTTGCAGATACAGTTCAACTCCGCTGTATCATTATCGTGGGTCTTTGCGTCGCAGGATGCTGTCAGGCTCACGATTGGAGCGCAGACTTGTTTGCATTGGGATGGGAGGTCGTTTGCATCGATGTCTCCTGCTGCGGCGAGGGATGCTAGGAGGGAGAGAGATAGGGTTGGGTAGAGATACTGCATTTTTTTTTATATGATTGAGAAGATTTGGGTGGGTTAGAATTGGTGATTGGTGAAGTTGGGTGATCTATGTTTTGAGCAGGATGACTATTGTTATATCTTTTTTGCCTCGGACCACGTCATGTTCCGGTAGACTCTGAAGCTTGGAATATTGGACACATCAATTAGGTAAATTTTGCAGGATCGCTGGGGTCAATTTGCGGGGAATCGGGGTGATTTCCGTGGGGATCAACAGGGTGCTCCACAGGGGGTCCCAATAGCGTGTACATTGTACTGTAGTTCGACTCAAGAGGTACAAGGTACATGTGTATAGGTAAAGCCGCGAGGACGGTGGATGATTCCAACAATCGAATTTCGCTCATAAGTAGATAGTAAGAATTGGGTAAGAAAATAACGCTCATAACCCTAACGCCATCGCACGCTCCAAGAGCCACTCAGTATTTCCAAATAGAAAGAAGCAAAAACAAATAGAGATTAATGACACCGCCCAAGTCTTCACGCGTTCTCCTTGCCGAGTGCCCTGGACTTATTGTTGATTTGCTTCTGTCTGAGTCGGGACTGGGCATCCGCAATTCGTTCAGGAGAAAGACCTCCTCGTTGTATGTCGTTCAACCCGTACCGCTTGCCCACTCGGTCACCAGCTGAGATCGTGTAGTTTGTATACCGACTGCGAGACGGGAGACCAGACAGGGAGTCGAGAGTTGATTTAATATGTGTTCGCTCTCGTTGCGTGTTTCTGCTGCTGAGCCCGGTGTCATCTGCACCGAGAAGATTGAGAGCTCGAGCAGGACGGTTTTCACCGAGTCGTCGTTTGGAATAAGTGCGGTTTAGAGATTTGAGAGCTGAAATATCAGGAGGCGAGGAAGGTGGAACTGCGTCTAATTCAACGTGGTGGGATTCATGGCGTGGCTTTGGCAAGATCTCGTTCAAGTAATGGGTCACCTCGTCGTCATCTGCGGCCGTGTTCCGGAGATGGCGCCTTGAGCCAAGTGTGCCCAAAGTAGCACTGCGCAGAGCAGGCCGCGACTCACGGACCTTGGACCGTGGACTCGGGCTTGGGGGCGGCTCGATGTCGTCTGTGGGTTCTTCTTCTGGATCTTCTGGATCTTCTTGCTCAAGATCCTGGCCGGCAAAGTCAAACACTTGCACACCCGTGGGGTCTTTGCGAGGACTGAAAGATTGCCGCTCAGTAGAAGGCAGAACTGGGAAACTTTCGGTCGTGCCAAGTCTCAACTTCAAAAGGTCGATTTGCTTCTGCATTTTGCGACGCTCTGCGTCCAAGGCATTTCTCAAATTTTCCTCTGATTCACGGTGCTCTTTGGTGACAGTCTTCAGTCTCTCCCTGTATTCCTGGACCCGTAACTCCAGTCTCGACTCTCTCTGCTTCAGTTTCGTTTCTTTTTCCTTGCGCCGACCCTCGTACCGCGACATTTCCTGCTTCACTCGAGCTAGCGTTTGCTTGAGCGTGTTGTTCTCTTGCTCAAGTGTTTGTGCTTTCTTCTCTGAGCTTTGCGCGAGGGTTTGGAGTGTGCCCAGCTCGGACTGTTGGCGTTGCATTTCTTCAATCTTGGCATTGGCTTGCTTTAGCTCTTGCTGCGCTTTATGGAGCTCGTCTGAGGGAGTTCCGGAAGATGTCTCTTCCTTCTTCTTTTCTGTGATTTGTATCGCATCGCTCACAACGTCGTGTTTCTCTAAGGCGTTGCGCAGCGACGTAACTTGTTGCTTGTATTGCAGTGCAAGAGCGGTCTGCTTGGTCAGATCCTGGATCAGTTGCTCCTTATCCACCTTGGATCCTTCCCCAACCATGGTAGAAGCAAGTCGTGATACCTGCCTCTCCATCTCTGCAACCTTCTCCTCTTCCTCCTTAAGCTTATCGGCCAGCCGCATGGCTTCGGAGTCCTTCTTGCGAGCATATGACTTGGCAATGCACCGGTAATGAATCAATTTTTTGATCTCTTTGTTCGTTCTCACACGGTAGTTGTCGAATTCTGATTTCCAATATTTGCCCGACTCGGAGTGCGGGTCCTCGAGGTTGATGGTGACATCTTCATCTGGAATTTCTTTCGTTCGAGAGCTGGCAGGTTTTACTTCCCCTGTAGTCTCTTCAGACTGGACGGAGTCCACGTTCTTGGACGCGTTATCGCGTGCATCCATGAGCGTTTGGGTGAGCTTGCTCCGTGGTTTGCCGCTCCCATCCGAAGAGCCGGACATCCACTGGACGCTGAGGTTACCAGTCGGATTCGGTGGAGTTCTGGCTGGCTTGCTGGCCGAGCCAGGGCGTTTCCCCTCATTGTCAACAACACTCTCCCCAAACGACACAGTCTTGCGTCGGTTTAGTATCGTCCCAGGGGTGACCAGAATGCTCTTCGTAGGAGATCCCGTGGGGTTGAGCATCGCGTCATCACCCGTTGGGTTCGCGTCTATCGTGATATCAGGCGGCGGGAGCTTCATTGTATCACTCTTGCTTCGTTGATGGGGGGATAGCTTTGGTTTTGACGCGTGTTTTCCATCTTCATCATCCGCTCCAGGTGTCCCAAAAAGGGCACTCTTAAAGGCGCGAATTGCAAAGACAGGAGCTGGAGTCTCGGGGGGTTCAAGCAGCTTGGAGTCCTCTAAGTATGATGGTCAGTGGAGAGATTCAGGAGACACGAATATGATAGAACCAACCCCCTTCCTCATTCCCCTTCATCCAGTCCAACATATCTAAATGGCCAAAGTGCCAAAGTAAGGAAGTGGAGGGTTTGTTTATGTGTCGCGGTCGGAAAAAGCAGAAGCGCCGATCATCTTATCGATACGGCTCTTGGCACTCAGCACTTACACTACATGTAAGCACAGAGAACTCATCCATGGACGTTTGATGTGACTCTGTCAGGTTTGAATTGATCTGCTTAGACTGGAACAATACTTGTAATCCGACTTGTATTGATGCACAACTTGCACTCCCAGCACATCATCCCCAGACATCAAATCACCCCGACATACGACAGCGACACTCTGCTATCACATCACACATCTGAGACTGCATACAACCAAGCAATATGACTTTCTCTCAATCACCTGGCCCGCGCATTCTCGCTAATACTTTTGCAACTATCTTTGTCGCATTCGGTATCAATGCCATTCTACGTCCAGCCCAAGCACTCACCTTCTTCGAGTTCCAGCCCCCTGCCTCTGCAGTGGACAAGCAGATGGTTGACAGTCTCATGGCAATCTACGGAGTTCGGGATATCTTCATGGGTGCTGCAATCTATGCGGCCGCCTACTTTGGTACTCGTCCAGCTCTGGGCTGGATCTTGATTGCTGCTAGCAGTGTTGCATTTGCAGATGGTTTTGTTTGCTGGATGCATGGCCAGGGTGCATGGAATCACTGGGGATATGCGCCAATGATTACTATAGTTGGCAGCATGCTACTCGGGCTCTTTGACTGATGGCCAGGTACACGTGGAATGCAGCCCACACGCCAACCCAGTGAAACAATTTGTGATCGACTCTTGCGGTGTCTATTGCCACTGCTGAAACTCGCCAACTCATGAAAAACCGGGTCCACTGTTGGGCAGGGAGAATGGTTCTTTTGCATGGCCTAAGCCAGGTATGCTAGGTAGGGTCAATTCAACCTCAGTCAACTTCAATCAACTTCAATGGACATTTGAAATGTAAAAATACGAAAGCATAGCATAGATTATACACAGAATCTGTAGTTATAACAGCAAATAAGAGCCGATGCACCTCTGTTATTCGGACGTCATTTATAGGCCCCCCACTATCGATAACCCGAAGGGCGCATCTGACCGCCTGTTCTAAGAAAAAAAGACTGCCCAATTCGCTTGACTCTTGACTTCCTCACCACCTTATTACTTCACCACTAGCCTCCATGTCGTACAGTCAGGGACGCATGTAGGGCTCTCGCCACGCCCCGCGATGTCTCCCAAACAGAGGAAGAAGCCCTCCCGCAGAAAGCAAACCTCCGATTCCTCCTCCTCCGTGACGTCCCCCGTTTTAGCTACAACCAATTACCGCGAAATCCACCAGACAGAGGTCGAGGCCCTGCGCTCGATCTATGGCGATGACTTTGAAGAAGTTGAGAACAGGCGGTCGGCCTGGCAGGTGGGTTGTCACTTTATGGTGGGCTGTTTGGGGTCCCTCGTGCCACTAACTCGTGCGCTCCAGCAAACTTCCGATGTGACGTTTAAGCTTCACTTACGATCTTCCTCGAACCCTGATGTCCTCCTTGTGTTATTAGTAGAACTGCCCGCCACATATCCCAAAACAGTCCCCAATCTCTCGCCGGGAAACCTCGATGGCTTCCGCGATGGAGCGCGTTCCAGAATCCAAGATATTCTCCGCAATAAACCAAGAACTCTGCTCGGAAGTGAAATGATCTATGAACTCGCGGTATCGATTCAAGATGTTTTGGAGGATGTTGCCCAGGCACGCCTGCAGGACAAGGATCTTCCCAGTCTCGAAGAGGAGCGAATGGAGCAAGAGGCGGCCGCCCTTCAACGCGCAGATTTAGAAAAACAAGAGGAGCTTCGCAAACAACAAGCTGCAGCTGCAGAGGAAGAGCGCGCATTACAAGAAATGCTCCAAGACAAAATGCGACAACGAACCAAGGCTCGGATCATGCGACGGAAAAGTCGCACTGGCGCCGACAGTGATGTCGATGACCTTGTGGAGAACACGCCTGGGGCGATTACCTTTGACCCTCCACTGCTCGTCAACGATACCGACGAGCAACCGCTGATCTTCCGTGCCGTCCATGGGAAAACCATGCTGCAAAGCCAGCAGGGTAAGAAGACGTTCACTGTCAGGCCTGTGGTCTCCGAAAGCCGATGCCATGTCCCACAACTTATTTTGAAGGAGATTTTCCTCGACGAGAAGGGATCTGAGGGTTTAACATTCCGAGAGCAGATGCGGACCAGTGAGGATAAGTTGGAGGGTCTCAAGCGATTAAGACACCCGAACCTGGTTGAATTTGTAGGGTTCAAAATTAATCGCCCACTTGGCCATTTTGACTCACCCGATAATTCCTGGACCGTCTTCACGCTTTTGGAGTATGCAAACAAAGGATCTCTCGCCGAGCTCCTCGACATTGTGGGGACCGTGGCTGTCGACATGCTCCGTGGCTGGATGATTCAGCTGCTCGAGGCTTTGGAGTTTTACCACCGCAATGGATTTGTCCATGGAAACATCCAATGTAGTCGAGTATTGCTCTTCCGAACTCCTTCGGGTGGAACCATTGTGAAACTACAATCTAGCGTCGAGGATGCTTTGCCTGAACCGCCTGGTGGAAAGCCATCTTTGACTGCATCCAAGTCGCCGCTTTGGCTTCCTCCAGAGCTGACGCAGGACAATTCAACACCCACCATGAAGACTGACGTTTGGGATCTTGGAATTGTGCTGCTCCAGATGGGCTTCGGGAAAGATGTCCTCCTGAGGTACACCTCCGCTAACCAGTTGATGGTGTCAATGGGACTCTCCCCGCCACTTCAAGATTTGCTCCGTGAATTCTTCCGCCCAGACCCTAGAAAGCGTCCAACTGCCTTCCAACTGCAACCGTCTGAGTTCTTCCGAGTGGATGCCCCTTTGAAAATGCGGGATAGAGGGTCAAACTCTGTGTCCCTCCAGAGAAGGCCCCGGCTTGACTCATTTGGGGCTACGCCGGCCTTCTCACGGTACCACCAAGACTTTGATGAGGCAGGTCAGCTAGGCCGTGGCGGTTATGGGCAGGTAGTGAAAGCACGGAACAAGCTTGATGGTCGGTTATATGCTGTGAAGAAGATATCTCAAACTTCAGCTGCGGCTTTGAAAGATACTCTTTCTGAAACCATGTTACTATCGCGTCTGAACCATCCATATGTTGTCCGGTACTACACTGCCTGGCTAGAAGAAGATTTCAATCATATTGAGGAAGAGGCTATGTCCTCCACCGAAGGTGACCCATTTGCTAGTCAGGACCACCACGGATTTAGCACAGGAGGCCTCGATTTCATCAGCTCCAGTGGATATCCGAAGATCGAATTTGCCCATTCGGACAGTGATGATGACAACGAAGGAACGTTATCCGATCATGCCCATGCTGAGACATCTCAGATTTACCGGGCCAATCACACTGAAACTGACAGTGAAGATGAAGGCGCTGAGCTCAGCCATGCGAGATCTGGATCTTATGGCCGACCTGTTTTGACTACGCTCTACATCCAAATGGAGTACTGCGAGAAACATGTGAGTGCTCTATTATATGACCCGCTTTATATCTTAGACTAACGTTCTCAAGACCTTGCGAGATTTGATCAGGAATGGATTATACGATGACGTTGATCGTTCGTGGCGTCTTTTCCGGCAAATTCTCGATGGCCTCAGCCACATCCATAGCCACGGCATCATACATCGTGATCTGAAGCCAGATAACATTTTCATTGATGTTGCTAATAATCCTCGCATTGGTGATTTTGGACTCGCTACAAGCGGTCAATTCACTACTGGTGTTCGTTCATCTGCGGCGGCAGACTTCGAAGGGGATTTCACTCGCAGTCTTGGGACGACCTACTATGTCGCACCAGAGATGAAATCCGTTGTATCGGGACACTACAACGAGAAAGTCGATGTGAGTATTCAATATTATTGGCATCTGTATACAAATGCTGACACTGTATAGATGTTCTCGCTTGGTGTTATCTTCTTTGAGATGTGTCACCCATTGCCTACCGGTATGGAACGTGACCAGACTCTCAGAGAGATCAGAGAAAAGAACCACACCCTTCCGCCCACTTTCCAGCAGTCTGATAAGGTGGTTCAAGGCCAAATTGTTGAATCTCTGTTAAGCCATACCCCGAGTGAACGACCCACAGCCGCGGAGCTTCTCTCAAGTGGAAGAATTCCACTTCAGGTTGAGGAAGAGACATTCAGACGGGCCATTGTGCATCTACTTTCAGATCCCAATTCTCCCGATTACAAGAAGATTTTGTCGGCAATTTTCTCCCAGTCACCCAAGAAATTCGAGGATATCGCCTGGGACATAGACTCGCATGGGGCACCAGCAGCCAATGAATTACTTGTCCAGGGTCTGGTCAAGAAGAGATTGACCTCGATCTTCCGGAGACACGGCGCCGTGGAGTCCCAACGGCAAATGATCTTCCCTCGATCCCAGCATTATAGCACTGCCCCTGTTGCACGCCTGCTGGATGCATCTGGCAATCTCTTACAGCTGCCATTCGACCTCACAGTTCCGAATGCACGAGCGATTCCCAAACAAGATCTCTCACTGGAGAAGACGTTTGCATTTGGCACGGTCTACAGGGAGTCTACTCATGGCAGCGAACCACGGACGCACGGTGAAGTGGATTTTGACATTGTTTCCCACAATACCTTGGATTTGGCCCTGAAAGAGGCGGAAGTTATCAAGGTTCTGGACGAGATCATTGAAGAATTTCCGCCTTTGCGTTCTTCTCCGATGTGCTTCCTTATCAACCACTCTGATTTGCTCCAACTTATCATGGAATTCTGTCGTGTCACACCTTCACAGATTCCACTGGCTAAGGAGACTATCAGCAAACTCAATGTTGGCAAATGGACAATGCAGAAGCTTCGAAGTGAGCTTCGGTCTCCGGCGATTGGTGTTGCTTCGACGTCGCTGGATGACCTTGCTCGATTTGACTTCAGAGGTATGTCATTTTTGATTGGGATTAGGGTCAATACACTAACTTGAATTGTGCAGGGTCTTTGAAAGAGACACAACGTAGGCTGCAAAGCATTATGGAAGGAACTGAATACGTCGAACGGATCGCACCGATATTCGCTCGCTTGAACGTGCTGATGACCTACCTGCAAAGCTTCGGTATTAAGCGCAAGGTCTACATCAATCCTCTCAGCAGTCTTCATGACAAGTTTTATGGTGGTAGCATCCTGTTCCAATGCGTCTTCGACAGCAAACGACGAGATGTGTTCGCCGCAGGAGGAAGATATGATGGCTTGATCCAGGAATTTTCGCCCAAGGTCCTGTCTAGTCGTCCGCAAGCGCATGCAGTTGGATTCAACCTCAGTTCGGATCGCCTTAGCTCTTCGATGATTGATTACCTGAAAGCCAAAGCTCCACCAAGAGAGACTGAGTCTGGCGCTGAGCTGTACTGGGGAGTCCGTCGGGTAAGTACCATTCTGCATCCGCCGTGTCAGTCCTTACTAATGCCATTAGTGTGATGTACTCGTCGCCAGCTTCGATGCAGATGTCCTCCGCTCGACTGGAGTAAAGCTCATTGAAGAACTCTGGTCAAACGACATTAGCGCGGAGCTCGCAGTTGATACCTCGTCCCTCGAGGAACTGATGGCCAAATACAAAGACTCCAATCACCGATGGATTGTAATTGCCAAACAAGACAGCAAGGACCGTGGATTCAAAGTTCGAAACCTCATGCGCAAAGAGGAATTCGATATC